TGTTAAATATAGCTTTTCAATGAATTTGTATTATTTAAAATAACATTTTTATCTTGGTTGTAAATATATTTAATCACAGAAAAATCAACCTTTGTACCATACAAGTCGTAATCACTTGTATAGTAATTGACGTTGTAAAATGTGTACCCAAACGCTTTCATTTGAAGATAAAACGCGTAACTGACAGCAACTGTTTTGAAAAATAATTTTTTGAATTGTTCAATGTTATGCATGTTTGAATTGTCTGATTTGTTTAAACAGCTACAGAATGATATTTTAGTGAGTTTGTTACACTCATCAAATATTAAACTTTCAAATTTTTTGATTGTTGTAGGAAATACAATTTCACACAAATTTTTGTATTTTTTAAAAAATGTATAACATATTTTTGTGACACTTGATGGGACTTCTATTCTTGTACTATTAAGGGGAAACTCGACGTTATAATTCAGTTTTGTTGTATTTGGTGTAACATTGTGGATATTTTCTTGGTCTTCAGTTTCTTTTCCAATATCAAAAGTGCGTCCATCTTCAAATACAATCGAATTCAAATTGGTGCATCCAGCAACAACACGTTTTCCAATTTTTGTAACACTTTTTGGGATATAAAGCGACGTCAAACTCATTGAATCCGAAAAGGCTTCTGTTCCAATTTCACGCACATTTGGTGGCACGACAAACTCTTCAAGTTTTGACCTTGAAAAGCAACACTTTGGAATTTTTGTGACAGTGGATGGTATTTGTATTCTATTTGCGTTGTTCACATAAAAATTAGATTCATTTAACAAAAAGGCATTCTCAGAGATCAAAAGCTTTTCAATTGGATTATTGAAGTTGTAACATCCGATGTCTGCTTTAACAATAGTAGTAGGAATGTACACTCTTGGGTGTTCACTCAAATAATTAGAATCGTTGTCAAACATGTCCAAATCCCCAAGATGAACGTAATCAGCGTGGTTAGAAACATCACATAATGTGTCACAAAAGTTGTCAAATTTAAACACTTTCTCAACAATTTCTTCGCTTTTCATTACATTCAAAACTTTAATTCCAAGCCTCATAAATATTTTCTTTTCACTTTCAGTTGCAGTGTACACGTGTTTCATATAAGAAAATGGAACATCTAATTTGGTTAGTGAAGTGCATTGTTCAAAACAGCCGCCATCTTCAAAGATAACATTGTCATTAAAAACAAGTTCTTTCAATTGTTCACATTTCTCAAATGCAAAACTTCCAACTTTTCGAACTTTTTGTGAACGTCAAA